TCATTAACTCAGAGCAGGTGGATGTTCGTAAAGCGTCATTAACTCAGAGCAGGTGGATGTTCGTAAAGCGTCATTAACTCAGAGCTGGTGGATGTTCGTAAAACATCATTAACTCAGAGCTGGTGGATGTTTGTAAGCGTCATTAACTCAGAGCAGGTGGAGGGGAAGAGCATTTTCTTTGCCTTCGCGCCTTCAGCGTATTATGGTCTCTAGGGTCACTTGGATTCAGAATCGACTTGACGGCAGTGGGTTGGTTTTTTAGCTTTGGGCTGAAAGAATGAAGGATGTCCTTTCTGACGGTAACATTTGGTTTCTATCCATTTGTTCAGTAAATATTTTTGGTGTAAAAAAATGTTCAGTCCTTTCCAGCGACTTTGGAAAACAAACTCTTCTCAAACTGTAGCCAGAGCTAAATGTATACTTTGTGTACAGTAATAACAAAACACTTCTTCCCTATATCTGGAAGCAAATTCTGGGTCTGCTTGCCAGTCTTTCTAAGTCTGGTTGGGAGAGTGGAAAATCCTTTCTTAAAAGAGGTGGTAACTTCAGGAAACTAAAGTAATGAAAGGACTGAATTGCTTGTGTACTTTTAAATTGGCTGATTAGCATATGCAGAAAGTTAAGATGCTATTTAACATGCATGTCTCTCTGCTTCTATTTTCTCATATTGTTCAGGATTAATTTTTCCTCTGATATTCTTGAAGTAAACGGTTAACCTCAAACAAATCCTTTTTTAAAATAATTTTGTTGTTGAGAATCTACACAGCAAAACATAACACCAATTCAGCAGTTTCTACATGTACCATTTGATGACACTGATGACATCTGAGTTGTGCAACTATTCTCACCCTCCTTTTCTGAGTTGTTCCTCCCCCGTTAACATAAACTCACTGCCCCCTAAGCTTCCTATCTAACTGTTCAAGTCGCTGTTGTCAGTTTAAAAAAAAAAAAAAAAAAAAAATCCTTTTGTTGTAGAATGATCTTGGCTTTAAAAATGAGAATTGATTACACTTGAAAGGCTTTTTTTTTTTTTTTTTTTAAGTCCTTTTTCTTAATACTGTGTTTTCAGTGACAGTTTACACAGCAGATTAGGTTCCCATTCAACCATTTCTACACCAATTGTGCGGTTACATTGGTTACATTCTTCATAGCGTGTGAACATTCTCATTATTTCTGTTCTGGTTGTTCCGTTTTCATTCATCTAGTTTCCCTGTCCCCTTACATTCTCATCTTTGTTTTAAAGTAATTGTCGACCATTGGGTCTCACACAGATGCTTTTTTAAAGGAGCACAGGACTTATGGGTCATAGTTATTATTCTGTGAGCCAATCTGTTATTTAGCTACAAGGCAACCTCAGGCTAGTGTCCTTTCGAGGTTGAGAGAGTACCTCCAGCTCATCATCAGAGCCCTTGTTGTCTTCGTATCGTGTCATGCGTGAGCGAGGCTTTGCACTGGCTGACATGTTCTTCGTGCTCAGCACCCTAAATCAGTTCCTTTGATTTAGACTCATCAAGTTGTTTGCTTTAAAACCTGCAAAACATGTCAGGATCTGTGATGGGTCTCCTTTCAAGAGCAATGTCGAACCTTAACTTGTGTTAGATAAAATCTAACACATGGACTTTCCATCCTTTTCTTCATAGTATATCACGGAATTGGCAGACGCCCTGTCTTACTGTCATTCCAAGAAAGTTATTCACAGAGACATTAAGCCAGAGAACCTGCTTCTCGGATCCACTGGAGAGCTGAAGATAGCAGATTTTGGGTGGTCGGTGCACGCCCCGTCCTCCAGGTGAGTAATTCAGCAGTGGAAGCTTGTCGGCCTAGCAAACGCCCCCCCAGGGGCCAGCCATGAGCTAAATCGTAAGATCTTTAAATGTGAATTCTGCTCCTGGCTCTTGCGAGTTGGAGCAGGTGATTATACAGAACTACTTTGGCATAACCTAGGCCTGGTAATAAACTGGTGTCTCTGAGAAAACTATTCTGCAGCCATTTTGGGGGATTTAGGGCGTTCTAGGCCTGGGGATAAAGAGGCTTACGGTCTTTAGAGACTAATGAAAGGAGACAGCAAACAGATATCAGAAGTGACATTGGTGACGCAGCGGGGAGGCACTCTGAGCTGCTCCCGGGGTAAGAAGATGGGGTGAAGCTCCGAGGGTAGCACCACAAAGATCCAGAGCTGAGAGCCCAGTACTTTGGGGAAGTTAAACACAGCTGGATGGAGCTGTGAGGGTGGAAGATTCTCCGTCGTCTTTGTCGGCGGGGGGAGCAGTCCTTCCGTGTCCCCCCCCTTAAAGCTGAAGCAGACACGTCAAGCTCATGGAACAACTGAAATCTCAGGTGAACTTGGCCAAAAGAGCCAGAATACTGCGCTGTTGAAAATTTATTTTGGGTTAAAATAGGCTTTTGAAACTTGGTGCGTACCTTACGTGCCCTAGTTCACAACACGTCGCCTGATTAGGGTTTGTCGGCTTTGGGGGAGGACTTCAAAATGACAGCCAGCTTACTTTAAAGCCAGTTTCTAGCCTGACATAGATGACAGGGGGAAAGAGCCCTTTGTGTTACTGACCACTTGGGACAGTTTCAGGCGATGCACTGAGTCTGCTGTTGGAGTCTTCCCTTTTGAAAGGACTGACTGCCTTTCATTAGTGGGAGCTGTTGTCCCTGGCGAGGCAGACATAAAGAATTGCAGGTTTCATAGAGTCACCGTGTTAAACTAGACCTTAACGTGTCCAGTGGTTTTCAGCCTTTCACTGGTCACTTTGCCCCACATCCCACAGGTTAATAGTGACTGTAATATTTCCCGGATTCTTGTGCCCCACTGTTTGAGAACCTCTTAATTCAGTCTGTCTCCCTCATCTCATTGGGGATGAGGTGTCAGGAAAGGTCACTCCTGATTCCAGATCACAATTCAACTGAGTGAACATCTGCATGCTTGCTGGGTGCCAGGCATGGCCGAACACAGTGCCGGCACAGAGTAACTGTAAAGGAGAACCGATAGAACGCAACAGAAACTCAAGTCCTTGCTCTTGGTTTGACGTCTCTGCCATGCCCAGTTTATCTCCCTCCTCTGTTAGGAAAATTCAGATGCACTGAAATGTTGAACTGTAGTTGAGAGCACGCCGTCTTTCCAGTGCATACATCTGATGAGCATTGACATTTGCCCTGTAAGCTGCGTCTACTTTTTGGTGGCACATTTAAAAATAAATTGCAGATATCATGATGCTTCACCCTTAAGTACTTCAGTATATGTCTCCTAAAAATAAGGACATTTCTCCTGTATAATCACAAAATCATTATCACACTAGAGAAAAGTTAATGCATTTGTTAGTATCTAGTCCCTGTTGAAATTTCCCCAGTTGTCAACAAAATGTGTTTCATCACTCTTTTTTTAAATCGGAACCCAGCCAAGGTCCATGCATTTGTATTTGTCTCTGGTCGTAATCTAGATCAGTCCCAGAACATTTTAAGTGGAGTTTTCTGACTGTGTGTCACTTACTTTGGTCCTTTGTCCCCTGTAGTTGCTGAAAACTGGAAGTTAAGACTGAAGACCTGAAGAGATTCAGGCGAAATATTTTTGGCAAGAAGGCCAGAATAGGTCACGCGATGCAGTGCTACCCCCGCCTCTGTACCTCTTCTGTACCAGTGATCTGTCAGAAGGCGGTGTGAATCTATAACCCAAAACCTAGTGCTTTCCTAGCGAGATGGTTTTTACTTTCTTGTGCTTAATGTCACCTGGCTATTAGCTTCTGAGCATGTGTGTCATATAAAAACAAATGTGAAACTCCAAATAGTATTCGCAGAGAGCTCCGCACGGCTGCTTTTACACAGTAATAATCTTATATTCCGGGTCATTCAGGGAGGTTCTGGAATTGTGCAGATTTGGGGCTAGGCTTGCTGGCTAGCTGTGTGCTCGCTCTTACATACTCCCTCAGTTTCTCTCCTATCGAGAAGTGGGGATTTACTGATTTATTTAAAAAATTGTTACTTTGTTGAAAACACATACCAGTTCAACAGTCTGTATAAGTCTGTGACACTGACACATTCTTCAGGCTGTGTGACCGCTGCCACGCCCCTTTTCCCAACTGTCCTTCCCATTAACTAAGCTTCTGTCTCATCTTCCCGGTTGCTGTGGGCAGTTTGACCCCATACCGACAGATCTGAACAGAGCACAATGCCCAAGGCAGAGATTCTTTACTAATTAAGCTAAACTGTTGTTTGGTTTAAAGAAGACTCCAGGGGATATTTTTGGTTTAAGGTTCAAACATCATCTCAGGGCAATAGTTTCGGGGTTCATCCAGCCTCAGTGGTTCTGTAAAGTCTGGATACCACAAGAATTTGGAATTCTGTTTTGCATTTTTCTCCTTTTGATCAGGATTCTATAAAAATGGGGATTTATAATAGTACCTGCTTCATGGCACAGGATTTGGCCTTGAGAAAGCACGCAGTAGTTGGCGTACTGTTAACGGTTTCTGGCGGCTATCGTAATGATCAAGACGAAGCCTGTTAACTACCCTGAGCCCTCCCTCCATTTCCAGGAGAACCACTCTCTGTGGCACCCTTGACTACCTGCCTCCTGAGATGATCGAGGGCCGAATGCACGATGAGAAGGTGGACCTCTGGAGCCTTGGAGTCCTTTGCTACGAATTCTTAGTTGGGAAACCTCCTTTTGAGGCAAGCACATACCAAGAGACCTACAACAGAATTTCACGGGTAAGACATCCCTGAAAAGCATCCGTCACTTCTTTCAGAATTCTTCCCACATCAGCCTCAGCTCCGGGCCAGTGAGATGGGATGGTTTTACCCTTCAGTCTCTCCCAACCACGTCTTGTTTCTCATTATCTTCCTCCAGGTTGAGTTCGTGTTCCCTGACTCGGTAACGGCGGGAGCCAGGGACCTCATCTCAAGACTGTTGAAGCATAATCCAAGCCAGAGGCTGACTCTGAAAGAAGTACTTGAGCACCCCTGGATTACAGCCAATTCGGCAAAACCACCAAGTAGCCAGAACAAAGACCCAGCTAGCAAACAACCTTAGGAGCCTTGCCGGGGGAAGTCTGAGCCAGGGCCGCTATATAACCTGGCAGGAAATCGCTACTGAAACTTCATCCGCTGTGGACTGCCTGCCCTCCGTCAAAAGTGCTACAAAAAATATTACTTTTTTTACCGAGCAGGCAGGACCTTAGGCTCCCAACTCAGAAACCTCCACTTCAGTAAACACGACACCCTGATAATGTCGGGGGGCCGCCGAGTGAGGAGTCCTGCAGAGACCCAGGCGGAGTCGTGTGGGAAGTGCCGCCTTCGCCTGATTGATTAAAAGGAAGCGGCTTGCAATAACCTCCAAGTCCCCGAGTGTGTGTGTAACTTATTGGGTGACCGCACCTGGCAAAGCTGTCGGAATGAACACTGATCTTTGTTTCACATGTTAAAATAAAAGACTTTTGCATAGACTTGTATTTTTACTTCAGTCACATCCCCTTCGGAATGCTCTCTGTCCAGCACCCGTTAAGCCTGCCTGGGTGCATAGTCCTCGTTGACCACTCATCCCCTGGCTGAAATTTACAGTAGCAACACGTGCTCCACCTCTGTCTCAGGACTGGCTCGGGACACGGACGAAACCATGGTATCTCAGTTTCCAGATGTTCAGGGCTAATTTTTGAAATTATGGAGTTACGGCCTGTGTGCACTTTAAAAATAAATGTGTCAATAAATGCCGAAATCTGAGGTGCACGGGTAGTTCTTTCACCACCTGCCCACTCCCGGCCTTGGAAAGCACAGGTGCCAAAAGGAGGGGTCTCCCCTGCTTCTGGTCTCTGTTTGATGTGTTCCTAATTCATAAAGTTACATATCTGTTTATACAGCATGGCTCTGACTAGCAACAGCTTCATCTGTTCACCAGCTAAAGGACGTGGTGAACTCGCCAATGACGAGTGAAAACCTGGGATTGTCGAACTGAGAATGGTTAAGAGTCAGCTTTTATGGCTGACCTTCAGTGCCAGAGACTAAATATCAGAGATGGGTCAAAACGTAAACGTGGCCAACGTGTTACGTATCCATGCTGGGGTCACAGTGGAGTCGTGGAAACCTGAAAGCATGCCTGGGCTGAAGCTGCAGCGTCCCATTACCCCCCCAGGACAAAAGTGTTTTGGGTTCCTATAGAAGTCTTGGGCCAAACCAACTCTGCATTCCCCAAGTAGTGATAGTTCATGTATCGCCCACCCCAGCTATAGTTAACATGACATGGCCAACTTCACTAGTGATACCAGCTAAACTATGCCATCTCCCCGAACAGAATCCCACACAGGCCAAGAAAACGGCTCACTGGAGGAGCATGTTAACAAATAGGTCACAGGGTCCTGCTTCATCAGTAATAATGCTGACTTCACCCAAGAGGAATAAAAAAGTAGCCATAGACTTTACCGAGACGTTTATTTGTTTCACAGAATTTAAGCTGCTTACTTTGGCAGATTAAAAAAAGGTGAAAAATGGCTTACATTTTTAAAATAGATCATCCAGCGTTCCTAGTTCTATAAAAGCAATGTAAACACAAGCTGTCTGTCCATCCTGCTGGGGAAGTCATGTAATGCGGCAGTTCCCTGATGCTGTGACCTCACCCTCTCCAGTGATCTTCTGTGGTGGTCACTGGTCACAGGAAGGGAACGGAGCCGGGGCTTAGACGGTAAGGATAGGGCTGTTTGGTGTGAGAATGCGTTTTATTGCTTGCCCTTCCAGTCCGCTCCGTTACTCCTAAGGAAGTCTAGGAATGAGGCCCTTAACCCTGAATCTGTCTATAGCTTTTCTGCATAGGTACAACTAGGGGTCTGAATGGCAGGGAGCCGGGGACGGAAGGGGCGGGGCGGAGGAGCCAGCAGGCACGCTACGCATGGGCTTCACTGTGTTTACTAACCTGTAATGCACAATTTTACTGGGGTTTCACCACATTCTTAATGTGAAAAACAGGTGAAATTGTGCACTACAGATTAGTAAGGCCACACATACCTTACTGAGTAATCCGTCCCTGAGAAAGGGCTAGGAGCCTGAAGCCAACGGGTCACGTTCACACACAACGCACGATGGGAGCAGAATGCTGCAGTCCAGGTAAGGAATTACCCAGCACTGATCTGAGGGTACCTTGCTCAGGTGTGTGGATGTCCTTGCAATCAGACTCCAGAAAGGCAGCTCAGCTACAATCTGTAAGACCTTTGGGTAATGTGCCAGATTGCTTTAAAAGAAAAAGAAAACAGTTCCTTTTTAACAATCTTCCAAGTGGAGAATCTGTCCTGCAAAGACTCTTCTCAGTGGTGGTGGAATGACTGATCGACATTGGTTATTTAGGGCGAAGCAGGGAGCTGGCAGAGCCAGAGCTCAGTAAAACCAGGAGGGTCAGTCGATAGTTCTTTACTTTTCTGATTGTCACGGATGTGTCAAACGCTTGAGCCAGAAGGAGGAACACAATCCCCTCAACCATGGTGGTGGGGCAGAGCGGGTACACTGGGGCTTCCCAAGATGTGAAGCCAGGGCGCAGCCAGCAGGGCGGCGTCAACAACACTGAGTCCCACAGAAAGGACTTCCTTCAAGGAGAAAGTCTCAGTTTGGTTCTGGTGTGCCTGAGTATCTATGCGTACCTAATCCCATAACGGAGAGCAAGGGGCCTCAGGTTACACACCCTTCATGGGTAAAACTGGCTTAGAATTTAATTACATTGCCCATCCCCCTCCCTTCCTGGCTTGTATTTATTTTACAGGTGCCTTCTGTTTATAACCCCAATGGCAACCCTACAGGACAGAGTAGAACTGCCCCATAGGGTTTCCAAAGCTGTAATCTTTACAGAAGCAGACTGCCGTATCTTTCTCCCACGGAGCGCCAGATTGGTTCAAACCGCCGACCTTTTGGTTAGCAGCTGGGCCCTAAACCACTGTGTCAGCAAGGCACCTTCTATTTATAACAAGTGATGCTCATTTCCTTTTTAGGGCATGATACAACTTTTTTTTTTAACAGTTAAACATAAAGTTAATTACATATAAAGTCAATATATGTCAAATATATGAGCAACACAATGTAAACATTGTGATGGTAGCCCTGGGACGTCTGCAGTTTGAAGGGGGTTACTTACGCAAAGATTGTCTCAGCTCTTCATATATACAGTATCCAAATTCCCCTGGATACAGGTGGCAGGAGCCAAATGATGCTGTCACTTGGAGACCTGTTGCCTGCGAGTCTCTTCCAACTCGGTGACCCTAAAGGACAGAGTAGAACTGCCCCATAGGCAGGGGCGGATTATCCAATAAGCAAGGTAAGCACTACAATTTCACTACAAAGCTGTGGTAAAACCCATGCAAAATTGTTCACTACAGATTAACAAGCACAAGTAAGCCTGTGCTTCCCTTGCTTATTGGATAACCTGACCCTGCCCGTAGGGTTTCCTAGGCTATAATCTTTATGGGAGCAGATCGCCAGATCTTTCCTCCTGAGGAACCGGTGGGTGGGTTTGAACCACCGACCTTTTGGTTAGCAGCCGAGTGTTTAACCACTGTGCAACCAGGCTCCTCTTACTTGGAGAAGGTTTCCAGTTTCACCGAAACAAAGACAAATGACCCTGATCTACCTGAATGAAGTCTCAGCAGAGCCACCTGAGGTGGGACCCGCGGTGCCCAGATTTGAGGGTGTTTTGGAATCCGAAACCCACCAGACACATCTGCTTCTCTTTTCCCAAAACAAACGCGATGAGTGTCAAAGGGCGGAGGCTGGCTTAGATCCTGATCACATATTGTTAGGTCTTCAGTTTGGCTTCAGTGATTGTAGCACTGGCAGCTGTTTTACAGAAGGCTGCAGATTACACCGCAGGCAGCGGACGGCAGACGTTGGAGGACGGGGGATTTTAGAGACGAGCTGGATTAATCACTGCTCTTCGACTTAAGCCAAGATTCACCTCCCGGGGTTCTGCAGACTGACCCTCACCACCTCACCAATCATCTTCCAGAAGGACATTCTGGAGGCTCACAGTTTTGGTTGCGATGACAACTCCATTCTGATCTGTTGCTGACGTTTTAACTTAGGTATACAAGCCCACGATGAAGCGCACGAGCAAAATTTATAAAACAAAAACCTAGTTCTTCAGAAATCTTAATTTTGCTGGCAAAGGTATGACAGTCATGAGAACATAGCAATTAGCCCTCTGCTCACCCTAAAAAAAGCCCTACAGCGCTAAAACCAACCCAAACTGTGTAATTTAGAAGCGGTAGCTTTTCAGTGCCTACAACTGAAGAATTCATCAAGGCTTTGCAGCTGGAGGTTTAAAAAATCCCACTTTCCGGAAATACCTGACAAGCAAGGGCACAGAAACCAAGGTGATGCTGATTCTCACGGGCGCGAACAGCTTGTGGATCGCGTACGCCACCACGAAGGTACTCGTGCCCGCTGCCAATTTCGACTGCACCAGCGACTCTTTAAATCCGAGCTTAAGCAGGAGAGCAGACATGTCCACGCCGCTGGGGGAGAAGAGGCAGAGAAAAGGATTATTACAGCAAGGCGTTGACTACAGAGTTGATTTCCCTGCCAGATTTACAGTATTTATTTAAAAAAGTTTTTTAAAGTATTTTTAAAAATGTGATGAAAGTAACCAGGTGAATAAAAAGTACTAGAAAAAAAAGTTTTTGTTCACATAGAATCTTACGACAGTAAAAAAAAAAAAAAAAAAACTCCAATATTTATTTATGATTTGTTTTTAATAATTTGTTTTCTTTATTGTTGAAGATATACACAGCAGAACATATACCAATTTCTACATCTACAATTCAGTGGCATTGATTACATCCTTCAAGTTGTGCAACGAGTCTCACTCCCCTTTTCTGAGTTGTTCTCCCCCGCTAACATAGCCTCATTGCCCCCTCATCCTATCTAACCTTCCGAGTTGCTGTTTTTACACGCGGAGTATGTAAAATATACCAAAGTCAATTTGATCCCACACAGATAGTTCTTTAAAAGAGCACAATGCTCAAAACAGATATTCTTTACTAATTAAGCTAACTTATTCTTAAAAAGCCAATTATTTATCACGGTCAAGGCTCTTACCTCGAAACAACCGTGTAAAAGATGCCCAAGGAGACTAACGAGATTCCGATGTGCACGGACACACCCACGGCCCCGTATTCCTTAAAAATCTTTCTCAGCTGCTGTGACTTGCTTTGCTGCTTCTCTGGGCTGCCGGCCTCACTGCCTGCCGTCTCCATGACTTTGCTGGGGTCCTGCACACAAGCCAAAGAAGGGGAGACACTCAGGCCAGAGCAAGGAGCCAATCCTGGTCATCACCAGCTTTTTCATTTTCATGTATTTATTTTTTGTACTTTGGATGACGGTTTACAGAACCAACTAGCTTCTCATTAAACAGCTAGTACATACATTGTTTAAGACATTGGTTATCAACCCCATGACGTTAGTACTCTCCCTTCTCGACCTTGGGTTCCCTATGACCAGCTTTCCTGTCCCCTCCTGCTCTAGTCCTTGCCCCTGGGCTGGTGTGCCCTTTAGTCTCATTTTGTCCTGTGGGTCTGTCTCATCTTTGGCTAAAAGGTGAGCCTCCGGAATGACTTCATTACTGAACTAAACGGGTGTCCGGGGACCATACTCTCGGGGTTTCTCCAGTCTCTGTCAGGCAGTCAATCTGGTCTGTCTCTGAGTTAGAACTGTGTTCTACGTTTTTCTCCAGCTCCGTCTAGGACTCTGTTGTGATCCCTGTCAGAGCAGTCGGTGGTGGGAGCCGGGCACCATCTAGTTGTAGTGGTCTCAGTTTGGTGGAGGCCGTGGTGTTTGTCATCACCAGCTTTTATACTCATGAAACGTTATCCTTGCTTTCCCGCCCAACGAGAGGTCAACGTTATCCTTGCTTTCCCGCCCAACGAGAGATCATTATCCTTGCTTTCCTGCCCAACGAGAGGTCAACGTTAGCCTTGCTTTCCTGCCCAACGAGAGATCATTATCCTTGTTTTCCTGCCCA